CCTGGAATCACCAATTCATTTTTGTCCATTTTCAACAAAATGTCCATCAAGGGCTTTCAGTCTTTTATACAAGTAATTATGCTTCCTTTCTTAATCAAACCAGCCAATTTAGCCATTTCTGCAACTCGGCAATTGTAAGGCAGGGTTTCCAACCTGGGCAGCGGGGGTGGACTTCAACTCCCAGAATTCCTCAGCTAGCCCAACTTGCCCAGATTGAGAAACGTTGATATTATAAAGCAAGTAGTAGTCAGTAACTCACAAGCATTCCTTACAATTATAAACCCATTTCTCTTTTCCCATGAAATACTGTATTAAATTTAGGCTAAGAGAAGAAGCCAAGATTTATTAGGGCTTTCCCCCCCCCATAGACTGAAAACAGCAAAGACCGAAGCAGCTTATTTCCTGAGTGGGTCTGGGATTATAGACTTTTGCTCCAAATCCTTTGGAAAGTAGGATCAGTAAGATAAATTTGACCAAGAAAATAGACCCTGAAGTGCTAGATTTGTGGGGGTTTTTTCCAGTGTTGCTTTATCTTCCCTGCCATTCCTTGTTGATGCTCTGCCTGCATATTAATGTTATTAGCTTTTATATGTAGCTTTAGGCGTCCTGTAAATTGACACACCCTCGATCCTCTATAGGTAGTTTGTGCATTTGTTAAATGAGGTTTCAAAAGCTGTCCCTCATTGTTTAAAATCTGTACGGAAAGCTCAGAAACAGAAGTTATTTGTTGGTTAGAAGTCATCCTCATGGATCTGCCAATGACCTCAGGATCTGGAGGTATCTGGAGGCTACAGGTAGCCCTGACCTCCGAATGAACTCCAGATAATAAGACAAAAATACTCCTAAACCTTCCCTTTGTTTGGGACACCAAGGCTGGAACTGATAAATCCCATCTTTAGATAGGGAAATTGGCAAATATCAGCAATCTAAATAAAACTGGGAAAAATCTCAAGGTATTAGAAGTTCCTAATTGCATTAAGAGATTTCTTCACACACACACACACACACCCAAATCTGAGGTCAAAGAAGATAAAGATTGCAAAACCCCACAGGGATCCAAGCTGCATTTCCTCACTACCAGACCAAGTGTTTTTTGGTAATTTCTGGGGAGGCTAATTTTTCATGCTTTCTAGGAATAACAGAAAGACTTTTCTATAAAAGTAACGTCTAAACTACGATACGTGGCCACCTTCAATTCCTAGATTAGGCTAGTTTGTTTATTGAGTTGGGAATTCCTTGATTGGGATATTATTACTTAGTGTTAATCCCTGCTTATTTGGGTGTTGACTGCTGGCTAGGAGGTATTATGGTCTTTTGGTTTTTGGATTGTCTCTTTTGAATAGTATAGAACATAAAATAATAGGCCTGGAAGGGATCTCAGAGGTCTTCTAGTCTGCTCAAGGCAGATCTTATGCCCTCCTGGTCAAATGGCTGTCCAGTCTGTTTCTGAAAACCTCCATTGATGGAGCACCCTCATCTCCAGGAGGCAAGCTACTCCATTAATTGTTCTCACAGCCAGAAAATTTCTCCTTACTTCCAAGTTAGATCTTTTTTTAACAATCATCCACCCATTACTTTTTGTCCTGTACTCTGGTTGTTTGGAGAGCAAGTTAGTCTCTTCTTTGTGATATCCCCTTAAGTTTGCAATAATGACGAATATCTGTAGCTCAAGTTGTTGGAAGATAAATCAGGTCCAAGCTGGGAGGTAGACACTGAAAATAAAATGGAGGCTGGCTGCAGGAAGGTCTGTTTGCTAGCCAGAAACTAGTGACAACAGCATGTTTCTGGGGTGGCTGACAAAATGGAGTTTGAGAGTAGGTGGGTTTTTATACATTCTTTGGGGTTTTGTGATTGAAATGCCTGTTTGTTATGAAATGTATTTTGCCCTGTGCTTGAGTGTGCCCTTTTTGGTATTCTAATAATTGTTTCCTGACTCCCATTGTGCCTAGGAGGTCCCATGCCCTGTCCTTGGAGCTGGGTGGGGAATGTAGATTTTAGGAGTCTTTGTTTTTCTGCTTTTAATGCCATTAGCTTCACCTTCTGTGGGAGCTGTAGCTGAAGGCAGATTTATGAATGGAGCTCTCTGGCTTTCTGTAAATAGACTGAATGGAATGCTCATTTTCTCAATAGATACAAAAGTGCTGTATCTCATTCATAAAACTTAACTGCCTGAAGTGTTTTCCTGGTAGAGGAGCAAAGTGAATGATTTGATCCTAGGAAAGCCTCCTTTAGGGTGTGTGTGTTTGTGTGCTAATTTCCTACACAGATGAGGGTGAAAGTTCTTCGTTCCCTTAAACCAGTGGTTCTCAACCTTTTTAATGCCGCAACCCCAACCGGTCGTAAGTCGAGGACTAAACCGGTCGTAAGTCGAGGACTAAACCGGTCGTACGTCAAGGACTACCCAACCGGTCGTAAGTCGAGGACTTTCCCTGCCCGGGAGCGCCGCGCATGCGTGGTTCTGCCCCCTGCGCCGGCCGAGGCGTAGCTGGCAAGCGGTAGAGACGGAGCAGGCCGACCACCAGCTGGCCCAGCCCAAGGGAGGTAAGGCACCCGCTGGAAAAGGGGAAAAAAATGGCAGACAGCCTTGCTTGGCGACCCCCGTGAAATGGTCGATCGACCCCAAATGGGGTCGTGACCCATAGGTTGAGAACCACTGCCTTAAACTCTGCTGAAAATATTACCTAGCCTGGTAATGAAATGTTCAGAAACCAACCCACAAGCTTGGAGAACAAACTTTCACCCTCATCCCTTTAAGTACTGGAAGACCGTTATCACGTCCCTCCCCAATCCTTCTCTTCTGATAGGCTAGACCAGGACTAAGCAACCTTGGCTCTTTTATGACTGGCTCAGGAATTCTGGGAGTTGAAGTCCACGAGTCATAAAAGAGCCAAGGTTGCCTACCCCTGGGCTAGACACATATCTAGCTCCTAGCTCCCTCAACCGTTCATCATAGGATTTAACCTCCAGGTCCTTTAACAACTTTGTTCTGCTCTATATTTTCTAGACTTTCAGCATCTTTTTTTGTGGTAACCAGAACTGTACACAGTACTCCATCTGTAACCACACGAGCGTGGTATAAAGCAGTATTATCACTTCTTGTGATCTTGTATGTACATATGATTTTCTAGGTATATGTTGTTTACTTCTATGTGCCTGTTGATGGCTGATTTGACTAGCATCAGGCTTTCAGGAATTCTCTAGCATTTTTGGATTTAGCTTTGTACAAAAGTAAGACCTCTCCTCATTCAAGAACATTCTGTCCTGGTTGATCTTTAATTTGGAGGAACAGCTACCTTTAGGCAAAGGGGACGGCGGACTTGTTAAATGTGAGACAAGTAGCTTTGCTACATAATGTATGGCCTTACTTCAGCCATGGCATGATTGATCCAAATGTACATGCTGAAACCTAAAAATATTTACTTGGAAATGAACATTATACGGTAAAAATTGGGCAGGCAGGGGTCTTTTGATTGAATAAAATTGCATTAACAAGAGAATTGACCTCCACAGATACAGTAGATACTCATGGCAATTGTTAGTTGTTCCAGGACTAATTTCTTTCATTAAAATGAAGAATCTTTTGGGGTTGCAGAATTCTACTTAACAGAGCTGCTAAAATAGCTTAGCATAGACTGGTTGTTAGAAATGTTTCACTCAATAACTAGCATTAGTGGCCTGATGCTTTACATAGCAACGTTTCATTCTTAAAATGAAACTGCTTTACAAATTGCTTGGTAATTAAAACACTGGATAAGAGTACAATGTCTTTCCTGGGACATGTGTCCCGTTTAATATTCGGTTCTCTTGTCTCAGGGCTGATTCATACTAAATATGGGATATTTCTCTTTAATAACATAAATGGAAAAAGTGATATTGTGGATACAAAACAATAATGAAAAAAATAGACTTCTGTGTTTAAATTGAGGATTCTTGCAGCAACAGAGTAATGAATCACGAAGTAAAAATGATATGAAAGATTTTTGGAAGTGTATTTAAAACTCATTAGCTATATTGCTTATTTATTTGTTCATTCTCTTTTTATTTCCCTCATTTAGCCAAATATGGGTTTTCCTATACCATCCTTATACTGAAATATTGCAAATCAAAAGAACTCTTAATGGCTAGATTCAAGGAAATATATGTATTCGGCTTTGTGTATGAGAATGACATTTAAAAGTCCTACTTAATATGACTCTGGTTCTATAAATAAAAGCAAATACTAGGAAATCTGTGAGGGAGAAAGTTCATCATATGCATGAAGTAAACTCAGATGACAATCACTGAGAATGAGGAACTTTACAGGAAGGGACACAAAGGCAACACCTGCATAAAAGGTATTTTCTCAACCTCAGTAACATCTACATCAAGGGTGTCAAACTCAATTTAATTGAGGGCCGCATCAGCATAGCAGTTGCCCTCGGGGGGCGGGCGGGTGTGTGTGGCCAGGGTGGGTGCAGCCTACTGGGTGGGCGTGGATGAAGTGGGTGTGGCCTGCTGGGTGGGCATGGCCAGCTCTACATCGTTCGCGTCAAGGGTGCCTGTGGGGGCCTGGGCAGGAGTGGGACAGATCTGAGGGTCTCTGGCAGAAGGGGGTGGGACCGGGGCAAGCGCCAAGGGATGGTCCATTTCTTCATTCCTCACAAAGGGTGACACCTCCCCAGCATGCACCCAGGGGGCGGGGCTGACACAGCAGGGGCTGGTTCCTCGCTGTTTCTGGACAGCCTTGTGGAGCTAAGACTGAATGCGTTTCAGCACAGATGACCACCACAAAATTGTACATTGGCTCCCAGCCGGCTTGGGCCAGGGCCAAGGCAGCAGGGGGCATTCCCTCACTGTTTCCAGGATGGCTTCGCGGGCCACATGAAACCACTTCGCGGGCAGCATCCGGCCCCCGGGCCTTGTGTTTGACATGTCTGATCTACATCATGTCGAGGGTGAGGGACATCTAAGTTCTGTTTTGCTTTTTAAATAGTAATATGAACACAAAAACTACACATTTAGCAGGTTGGTTGTTTATTTCCATCATAGGGCTTAATGCTATGCTTCCAGACAACTGGACAAGTGGTTTATTATGCATTAAAAGTTTGATGAAATACACTATCCTGAGGCTCAGCAGCCTTTTACACTGATGGAAACTCTGAAATGCTATTATTCTGGGATAGATGAGAAAATTCACACAACCACAATCAAGCAGTTTCGTGTATCTGAAGATGACTCAAAAGGTCTCTTTCATTACCAAACCTCATCAAACAATCAGTGCACTTGTGAGGCAGTTCAGCCGAATGCCTGAAGTCCAAGTGGCTTCTGAGGTCACCAATCTGTCCTGTTGAATATTCACAATACTGACACAAATAAATGCCTTCAGTCAGGTGACTGTTTAAGTGTTTGCAATATTCCAACATGCCTGTGAAGCCTTTCCCACAGTCATCACAAACATGAGGGAATATTTTGGTGTGCTCTATCGCCACATGGCGATTGACATTGGTGTGAAGCCTGCTGCGGAAGCCGCACACTTGACACACAAAGAAGTTCTTGCACTTGTCAAAGCTGATTTTGTTGACCAGACTGTAATGGCCCTGGGGCTGCCGGCTGTTGTAGCTGTCGCTCAGCTCTATCAGCCGGCCTGCGTGCTCGTTCACCACATGGCTGTGCAAGTCCTCAGGGTCGCTCGTTTCGTGCTCACAGAACTGGCACAGGTACAGCTCGTCACAGCTGTGCTCCTGGAAATGGAGGTACAACTCACTACTGGAAGAGAACTGAACATCACATTGCTCACACCAGTAAAGATGGTCGCTAAAATGCGTATCTGCTATATGCTGGCTCAGGTTTTCAAACATCACGGTTTTGTAGTCACAATATTTGCAAATGTAGGGGTCCTCCTCGTGGATTTTCAAGTGTTCAATAAGCACCTTTTTGGAAGAGAAGCTTTCCTTGCACACCCGACAGATGTTGCCCTCAGGGCAGGTTTTATGCTTTAGAACCACGTGCTGCTTCAGGTCCGAGAAATATTTACTGTTAAATGTGCATCGTTCACATTTGTACAAACCGCTGCTGTTTGCCCGGAGCAGGGGCCATTTGGGCGGAATGATGACGTTCAAAGGAGGGTTTTTGTCAAGCCCTTTGCAACTTGCAAAAGGGATTTCCTCTGCATCCTCTGCTTCAAGCTTCTCAGGGGAAATGGTCTGAGTTTCAATGTCGTGGACCTCTACAGCCTGGACTTCAGTAGTGGAGATCTCTACAGTTTGAATATCCAAAGGTTTCTCCTCTTCTGTTAAACTGTCACTGAAGATAGGGGACTCGCACGAATCTTTAAAAATGCCGTTATTGTTGTTTTTATCTGCAAAAAGGAGCCAAGACCAAACTAACAAAGAATTATATTTTTAAATTTTAATTTACCGAGTAAATTTTTACCAAAACAACCAACCACCACCAGGGGACAGACTTTATTTGTCTTCCTGAGAAAAAGAAAAAGAGCACCCAATCTCCCTAAGAATAAGTAGTAAGAGATACTGAATGCTGTGATAGAAAATAAAAATGTGCAAATACCATTATTTTTGTTGGATCACTACCACGGCAATTCTCTGCATATTTATTTTGTCAGTTCTACTGAACTCATCTGAATATACCTGAATAAATCTTAAAGAGGTGCATATTTTTATTCCACTCTTTCATTAAGAAACTGAAGATAGCTTTCTTATATTCTATATCAGGGGTGTCAAACTCAATTTCATTGAGGGCCGCATCAGCATTGCGGTTGCCCTTAGGGGGCCGAGTAGGTGTGGCCAGAGTGGGTGCAGCCTACTGGGTGGGTGTGGCCTACTGGGTGGGCGTGACTAGCTCTACATCATTCGCGTCAAGGGTGCCTGTGGGGGCCTGGGCAGGAGTGGGACAGATCTGAGGGTCTCTGGCAGAAGGGGGTGGGACTGGGGCAAGCGCCAAAACATGGTCCATTTCTTCATTCCTCACAAAGGGTGACACCTCCCCAGCATGCACTCAGGGGGCGGGGCCAACGTGGCAGGGTCTGGTTCCTCGCTGTTTCCAGACGGCCTTGTGGAGCTAAGACTGAATGCATTTCAGCATAGATGGCCACCACAAAATTGTACATTGGCTCCCGGCCGGCCTGGGCCAAGTAGAATTCAGGGCCAAGGCAGAGGGGGCCGTTCCCTCACTGTTTCCAGGATGGCTTCGCGGGCCACATGAAACCACTTCGCGGGCCGCATCCGGCCCCCGGGCCTTGTGTTTGACATGTCTATTCTATATAGTCCTACATACAACTCCCATCTGCTCTGGGAACAAGGCCAGTAGCAAATGATTCTGATTTACAGTCCCAAACATATGGAGGGCATGAGAGGAACTATCTTTGTTCTAATGACTACAATGCACCCAGGCTCTCGGGTTCCAAACTTTTAATGTTCAGAAAGGGGATTGACATCTTTTCCCCTGTCTCATTTTGGTATTATTATTAATAGGGAGAGTAAATGAGAATTGACACAATCACTTTTCCTTTACCTTTTTTCTTAGGGTCCATCAAATGCGTCCCCGGAACATTAGACTGGATCCCACTCCACTGAGATGTCCCAGCATACACCTGGCTGCCATCCTCATCGGCATCTGTACTAGGCGCCGTGTTATGAAATCGACCTGAGGAGAAAAAGATTATTCTGTTTATTTAACCAATTTATATAGAGACCCACTCAGCACACAACCCAGGGTATTCTGGTGTTAGCCTCCTATTTCAGTTCATACTTTTTCAGAGCAATTCAGAGCTTGTTTTCATACCTTGTTAAAAGACTGATAACAAATAATATGACTTCCTTCTACTTGAGTACACTGTAGTAAAATTTTAAAAAGCTAAAATTATTTCTCTGTACTGACAGAATGACTCCAGACACTAGGAAAGTCTACTAAGCTATGCCTGCTTCTCACAAACTTGTATGTTTTGTTTAAAATACTCTTGCCCATATTTATGATGTCATGCATAGTACGTGATGATATAACATGACCAAATGTTTTAAAACATTACTGTTCCCTTAAACATTTAAATTTCCAGTGCATATTTTAACATAGCAATCTGAACTGATTATCTGAAATCCCATCTTTACTCAGAGGCAGAAGTTCTTTCAAAAATAATAGTAATCCTGTCAAACATTTCTGAAGTCACCTATATCAGTAATTTTAACATTCTAATCTGAACTGGTTATCTGAAATCCCATCTTTAGTCAGAGGCAGAAGTTCTTTCAAAAATAATAGTAATCCTGTCAAATGTTTCTGAAGTCACCTATATCAGTAATAGGTAGCTGCCTATAAAAATGGAATTGCCAGCTGTTGCCTTGTGCAATCATAACACACCATGACAGCACAAGTAGCTTTAACTAACTCCACGTTTTAATTCCATTATATATAGCACTTTATCTCATTCATCAAGCAAACATATTTTCATAAATCACTCTACATTTCATGCCTTTTCATCTTATCATAAATTTTAAACATCAAACATGAAGTAAACTTTTCTTTTTCACTTGCATATAAAAAAATCTCTTCTGAACATATTATATTCAACCTTAAAATAGAGTACACCACCCACAATTTTGCAAATTGACATCTGTTGTGAGCTTTTGATAAAAAATTGGGTGTACATTCTTAAGCATATAACAAACTAATGTCCTTGTAGATTTTGCATTCACTTTTCATCTTTTCCTTTGTACAGAATAATCATTGTCAAACACAAATGCACACAAATGTTAAATGAATAGCACACACATCAAAAGTTATTTTTAAAAATCTAATTACACCATCTACTTCTTAACTTTATGGTTGTCTTTTCATAAAATTTTTGGTTATACATAGGCTATAAAATGGAATATTGTGTAGAATACCATTAAATCTTTCAGAATATGTACAAGGAGACAGGCAACCTGCTCAAAAATACACCCATGAATGAGTCTGCGAAATGCTAATCTTTACCTCGGTTATCAGGAACTTTGGGGTCTAGCTGTTTCATGGAACAGACACTGTAACAATGGTCAGAAAATATGCCACTATTATCTATATATTTTGGAATTCCTGAAGAATCTAAGACAGAAAAAAAGACAAAATCGTGAACTTAAATATCTGATGGAAGTTATTTCTTGACATCTGTATCAACATTTTTAACTTTCCTATGGCTAAATTATTTGATGTTAAGAGAATATAGTGCAATCCTTAATAAGTTTCTTTAAAAATAAGTTCAACTGGTTTTAGTGAGATTTACTCACAGTATTACAGAATTGCAGACCAAGAAAGGAATATATAAATGCATAAAAATTAGATGGTGGTCTGTGATCCTAATAAACGTCAATTAACAATAAGTTGTCTGTTACAGGTATGAGAGAGGAAAAATTCTAACTCTCCCATAAACAGACAGATATCTGATACACATACACACACACACACTTATATAAGATTTATTTATATAAAAATACATTTATATAAATATATATAAAATTATTGACCACCCAACTTACCATCAAGGTAAGATCATTTTTTTGTCTCTCAATTATCCCTCCAGATATAAAATTAAACTTTTCTGATTACTTCTAAATTATAGTTTAATTGGTCTCCAACATATAATTCTTAAAATGTTAGCTCTTTTAAGGTAGATCAGGTAAGAATACAGACAGTGTAAGTTAATAGTAGAGCTCTATTTTTATTGATATAACCTATCAGAACAGAAACTTGAAAGAATGGAAGTTTCTCTTTCTCTCCTCCTTATACTAAAGATAATTAAGGTAGGCCAATCTTGAATTTCTTTCTCGCCCCCTTCTGCTTTTCCCGACTGCATACTTTCTTCAATGCTATTCCTGTCTGCCTCTACCCAAAGCACATACAGAGACACCTTCCTTCTTTTCTCCTTCATGCCTCTCTTTAACCGATCTCTTAGTTTCTACCAGTTCTACCCACTAGTTTCAGATTCCTTGCATTTTATTCTTTGCCAGGTTCTCATCCCAACTTCAGTCTCTTGGTTTCTTCCTGCATCAGAAGATCACTTCTAATCCTTTATCCATTCTTCTGCTTGAAATCTGATGGCCCTTTATTACATAGTGGCTTGTCCTTCGCTTCACTTTCTTTTGGGGAGTAATTATGGCTGCCCCCATCTTCATTTAAGCAAAGAAAGGTAACTGCTCTCTGGGGTCACGCCAAAGCACTCATAGACAATTTCTTTTAAAAAAAAAGTGGACAGGATCCACAGAGCATCACTATCTCTCTGGAAACAATTCTGTCAGGACTGAAAGGTTCTGTTTGCCAGAGTATGTTTTACAATTTTTTTTAAAAAAAAAATGATGGTAGAATTGGTGCTGTGGGGAAATGTGATAGACCAGTGGTTCTCAACCTTTTTAATGCCGCAACCCCTCAACCGGTCGTAAGTCAAGGACTAAGCCGGCCGTAAGTCGAGGACTAAACCGGTCATAAGTCGAGGACTTTCCCTGCCCGGGAGTGCCACGCATGCGTGGTTCCGCCCCCTGCGCCAGCCGAGGCATAGCTGGCAAGCGGCAGAGACGGAGCAGGCCGACCACCAGCTGGCCCAGCTCAAGGGAGGTAAGGCACCCGCCGGAAAAGGGGGAAAAATGGCGGACAGCCTTGCTTGGCGACCCCCGTGAAATGGTCGCGACCCATAGGTTGAGAACTGCTGTGATAGACTATGTACTGTTGTGTGCTTTATTTTTCCTTTTTCCAAATCTCAGTGTATAATAAAGAAAATAAACCACAGGGATAGCAACTTACAAATAAGGTGTATAAGAATTGGGTTAAATTTAGGGATTGAGCTAGCTCAGGGGTAGGCAACCTTGGCTCTTTTATGACTCGTGGATTTCAACTCCCAGAATTCCTGAGCCAGCATGGCTCAGCTTGGAAACCTTTCCCTTTCCCCTCAGCATGGCTGGCTCAGGAATTCTGGGAGTTGAAGTCCACGAGTCATAAAAGAGCCAAGGTTGCCTACCCCTGAGCTAGATGATATCCAATGTATCTTCAATCTTTACATTCAAGGATACAGACATCAACATTTCTACTGAAGTCAGTTACTTTGTCCTGTATTTATATAATGTAACAATGAATTAAAGACAGACTACACAGAATTTTGAGAATTCAGTTTTTAGTTAACCAATCTCATCTAAAAAAATCTAGCTTCTGGAAAGTTTAACAGATACATTCAGAAGAAAATGCAATTTATAGTAACTGAAATAAGCAAATATAGCTACATTTGATTTACCTGAGTAGCGTGAAGGATGCGGAGTCTTCCTTTTCCTTTTCTTTGGATGCTCATTCATTTTGCTTTAGTCTGTAATAACAGCAATCAAAGTCAAGCATATCAGTTAATGTACTACTGGTCAATTTGCAGTTATTAAGAGTAAGAATTACACAGATGGAATCCTCAAAAGAGAAACCCAAACCCCACCTGATTAACCAACACAATCAGTCTATCTGCCAGGTACACTCACAAGGCAGATTCAGTTAGATTAGAATACAGACCCAGATTTCCCAAGTACCATTGTCCTTAATTTGGTGCACCAAAAATACAGATCTGCTGAGAATTCTGCAGCTGTAATTCAACCTACAGGGAAGCAGATCGGAGACGGCAGTTCCGATAGATCCCTGGATAATTTCTAAGAGAATGTCTAAGAAATCTAGGCTACCAATTATTTAACAGCAGCAGCAGCAATAATAAAAATTACCTAGAATTGAGCTTACTCCTGTTTTACTTGGCAATGATATTGGAATAACTTGCCACTGCTTTCTTCTGGATGGCTTTCAGAAATTTCCCAGTCTAGCTCTGGAATGTCCTGGAAGTCTCCTATTCAATTACCTTACCTTGCTTGGATTCTGAGCTGAGACAGTTGTGTTGCTGTAGTGTCTGTGTGTGTGTGTGTGTGTGCATGTGTAAGTGAACTGGTCAAAAATTTGACCCACCTACCTGGGGGGGGGTTACTTATGACCTGGATTCAAAGTTCCAGTTGTCGGGAGCCCCCCCCCTCCATGGCCAAGGGACCACACCCCAGATGCTTGGTAATCAAGCTGCACTTATGACTGTTTTCAGCGTCCTGCAGTCATATGAACATACTTTAGGATGGTTTGGATTGCAGCGTTCATTTAACAGTGGATCAATGGTGGTTCATTGAATAACAGCCAGAAAACAAGATTATAGCATCGAATTAGTCATGCGACAGACCCATTATACAACCGTGATGGGCAAGCTCCATTACGGTCATAACTCGAGGACTATCTGCAAAAAGCAAATAGGGCTTTGATCCCATGGCCTCCTTTTTCTGGCAACCTCTTGCTGCCGAAATAGATATTCAGACATATCTTTTAAGTTTTATTAACATGCCAATTTGGATACAAGAAAGTTCTCTGTATTTGCTTCCTTGTCTGTCACAGCAGCCACTGTATAATTATTTCACAGATGCAAGATATTATCACTTTAAATTGGCCTTGTTATTTAATGAACGATTTACAGTTTTTTTTAGAATAGGAATTGTGTGTTATTAAATGTAGATGCCCAAAGGGCCTGAAGCATTAGAAATACCATTCAATAATTTCTCGAATAAAAGAAGTTCACAATCGCATTTCAATTTAATGTTGCCACCCAGCTACAGGAGCCTCAGGTCAGAAATTTTCTTGCTAATTAAAATATCAGCTAAAGATTTCATAAGAAAATACACTTTTTCGCTCTTTATTGCCAAGGTAAACCCAAAAGTATGATGAAAAAGATGCGACAGTATTTGCTCAGGGTGATTCTTATCTGTCAGCTTCAATGCATAATTCATAAGTACAGTCCTGGTATTGCAGAACCCCGCTAGACCAGTGGTTCTCAACCTTTTTAATGCCGCGACCCCAACCGATCGTAAGTCGAGGACTAAACCGGTCGTAAGTTGAGGACTAAACCGGTCGTATGTCGAGGACTAAACCGGTCGTAAGTCGAGGACTACCCAACCGGTCGTAAGTCGAGGACTTTTCCTGCCTGGGAGCGCCGCACATGCGTGGTTCCACCCCCTGCGCCGGCCGAGGCGTAGCTGGCAAGCGGCAGAGACGGAGCAGGCCGACCACCAGCTGGCCCAGCCCAAGGGAGGTAAGGCACCCGCCGGAAAAGGGGGAAAAATGGACCAAAAAAATGGTGGACAGCCTTGCTTGGCGACCCCCATGAAATGGTCGATCGACCCCAAATGGGGTCCCGACCCACAGGTTGAGAACCACTGCGCTAGACAGTTCTCAATTCTCACCAGGCAATTCATTTTAGTATTGGGTATTACTTATAAATTATTCTTGATCTGATATCAGTTTTAAACAAAAGCTGTCCTCTTCCGGTGCAAATCTTATAAATTCAGTAAACGACAGATAATTTGTTTAAAAGTGGCTTGAGGCTGCATAGGTAGCTTAGAAAACTACAGCCTCAAGCAGGTACCTGGAAAATGCATGATCAGAAACAAATGTTCCATTCTTCTCATGTAAGTGAGAGGCACCACTTAGAGATGTGAATGTAAAAAGATTATGAAGTTATTTCTGTGTAATTTTTTTTTAAAAAAAACATGTAATGCCCCTATATCAACACTACAAAATATTAAATGAAAGAGCATTATGCTAAAATTTCCCAAACTGAATGAAAGCACACTTGTGATGGTATTTTATCTACAAGTTGATCTAAAACCCAGCAGGAGTCAACAGTAAATATCTTGGTTTTCTACTGTTGAAGAAACTTCTTTTTCAGGGGCTTTAGGTTATTGACAAGCTTTGACAGCTAGCTGAAATTTGTCAGTGTCACCAATGCAACTCCCTATTCTGAGTATTGACAACAAAGCTTTCATTGCGATGTAAAGTAAGCTTTCTAGTTTAGGGGCCAATGGGAATAAAGGGTGACCCTTTTCTTGAAAGTAGAGTGAGTGTATTCATTGTAGTTTTTGTTAACTTCTATGGGGGGTTACCAAAATGTAAGCATCTTCTCTAAGCATTATACACCTTTTGGCTTTCACTGGTTTTTGAATATGTCATTTTTTTCCTCCTCTTCAAAGTTCAAGAATAATATTGTAGCCAGAATGAAAGAAAGAAAATTTGTCTAAGAATTTCCCTCTAATTATAATGAATCCTTATAATATGAATTTTTCAAATTCGATTTTAAATTAACTGTTTGCATATACAAATCTGTAAAATAAAAATATGAAAGAACGTTCAAATTGCTAAATAGGATTTCTTTTTTTAAATAATTTTATTTTGTTCAAAAAAATTAAAATATAAAATACAAAAGAAAAAAAAATCTAAAAAATAACAAAAAAAAAACTTGACAAGAACATTAAAAATTATGAGTTAAAAAGTACAAAAAACCAAAAACACATATTATCTATCCTAGTTGAGCACTGAAAAACCTATTCCAACAATAATAGCTCCTCGCATTGCAAAGCAGGTCCAAAATTTATAAATTTCTACATCTCTTTGCAGCCTAACTGACCTGTCATACATTACATATATGAAAAACAACAGCAAAGTTAAAGTACAAGGCCCTACGTTAACAGTCTACCATTGTAATTTACTCATAGAAAATCTGCAACAGTTTCTTATCCATCACAAATCACCCCAGCCATTATTGCTAATCTGTCCAGGATCAAATACCTTTGTTTGGCTCTTAATAATGAAACCTTTCCTTAGGTTTTTAATTGGGAACTTTCCCAACAACTGCATCTCATTTCCACAGTTCATAAGTCTCTGTTGTAAATATCTCTGCAACATCCATTTTTGAAAAATTCTCCTTAAAAACACATTCCTCTTGCCAAGAAAGTCCAGTCCACTGTTCATCAATTCCACTAACTCAGAATTTCTTGTATTCATATTTCTTTCAAACTCTTCTGGCACATCTGTATTTTTCAAACCAAGTGCTTTTTTCTTCACATCTGACAGCAACAGATCAGATTCTTCAAGTTGCAAATCAAATCCCATTGTTATTTCCTGCTTTTGGGTTTGTCTTGTGTGTGGTTCACAGCCATTGTTGACCCAGCAAATTTTTTGTTTATATTTTCAAATAAAACCTATAAGTTGGAGAACATTTTTTCAAATGCTTCCCAGAAAATTATATTGCCTTTTAGAGACATTTGAGAAACACAGTTCTTTCCAAGGACATGAGGAGCAGATAACCCAGCATCCACAAGAAAGGTTGAGATAAGTCCCCCCCCCAATCAAAAATGACTAAAGGAAGGGGAATTTTCCCATCAAAAGTTAAGAAACAAAGATCAGAGGTTTTTTTATTTATTAAAGAGCTAGAAAGAGCAAAATTTGTAATATAATCCTGTATAAATGTAAGTCCAATCGGATGACTTTCACTGCCAGAAAATATACTTTCACCACAGACCTCCTTAGGGGCTAAAATGAAAGTGGTTTGGAATTTAATAGTAGACAGTGAAAGAACAGGAAAAAAGTTGCAGAAGTCCAACAAAGGATTATAAAATAGGTCAGCAGTCAACTAGCTGTAAATCAAAAGGCAGTGAAGCAGGCATGTCAAACTGCCAGCACCCAGGCAGACGCTCATCCCAAAACTGCGCCCACCCCATTGCCGGCAATGGGGGAAAAGTCACGATACGTCACGTGATGTCATGTGACGTCGCGAGTTTGACATGCCTGCAGTAAAGCTTCAAAAAGTACAATTAAAACCTAGGCATACTTAAGAAAAATGAACAACTGAGAGAAAAGATGGTAAGAGACCCAACCTTCCGATTGCTCCTCACCAAGAATTGCAGTCTTCAAGATCCCCTCTTCTCTGTAGGTGCGTGATTGTCTGAAGGGGATGTTGGGTCTTTCCTAGTCTCCCCTTCAAAAAACAGGGAGCAGAGCCACCAAATAACCAGCTTTTGTGGCAAAAAAGGGGTCACCAATTGTTCAGCACACCATCTTGGGTGAAGTCCGCTAAATAGAATTTCTGATTGTTAGAAAAAGAAATAACACCAAAGGATTGAGAACTACAAATTGTACAAAAATAAAAATAAGGATGTTATTTTTTTTACTAACGATGGAATATATTATGCAACTCCAATATTTGTATAAACATGGACAAACAATTCTTTTTAATAGAAGAGAATATTTGTAGCTCAGGGTTGAACTGTGGAGTCCTTGGTGCTGTCTGAGCTTGGTTGTTTGCTTGCAGACATTTCATTACCAACTAGGTAACATCATCAGTGCTAGTGAGTGTGGGATTTGCTCCCTATTTACATATAGTAGCTTGCTTTGCCAGTATTGGTGGAGGTGTGATTTTCTCCTTGATTTAGGGCAGTGGTTCTCAACCTTCCTAATGCCGCGACCCTTTAATACAGTTCCTCATGTTGTGGTGACCCCCAACCATAAAATTATTTTCGTTGCTACTTCATAACTGTAATTTTGCTACTGTTATGAATCGTAATGTAAATATCTGATATGCAGGATGTATTTTCATTGTTACAAATTGAACATAATTAAAGCATAGTGATTAATCACAAAAACAATATGTAATTATATATTGTGAAACATTTACTTCTAATTACAAATAAATGAAATTTTGTCTTGAAGCATGGTGTAGCAGTCTTAATATAACAACAGTAAACTACATTGCTACATTTTGCGACAGTATGCGTAAAAAGCCAACGTCAGTGCGAAGGTTGAGATTGCTTCTTTCTCACCAGATCAGAAATTCTCGGGGCAGTCTTTGCAAGAGCACAACGAAGATCATCTTCCACAACAACTCTACTTCTGTATTTAGACTTGATAACCAACAAGCTGGAAAACCCTGTTTCACAAAGATATGTTGTTGGAAATGGAAGAAGAAGGCGCAACACAGTCTCAGACAGAACAGGATATGATTCCAAACACTTGATCCAGAATTTTGTAACTGGCATCGTAGAGAAATCAGTTCTTGCTGCATCACTGTTAATAAGTTCAATGAACTCCTCTTGTGCTGTCTCAGGAACATTTTCAACTTTGACTGTGAATGGACTTCTGGCAAGTGCAAATGGGGTGTCAGGTAGATTTGGAAAGTACGATGAAATTTCGTCTGCAAGCATGTGCAAGTGTTCTTTCACAGAAATTATTACCGTAATCCTTTTGTCTGGTTCAATGTCATGTTCCTCAAAGAAAGCAGATAAGGTAGGCAACATGTAAATTTTATTTTCATCCAATTTTTTTTGCCAAAGCTGAAGTTTCATTTGGAATGATCGGATCTTTTCAGACAAATCGAGACACGTTGCATTTGGTCCTTCCAGTGATAAATTTAACTCATTCAAGATGGCAAAGATGTCAACCAAGTAAGCTATTTTCTGCAGTTCACTTTTATCGCTGAAAAGTGCTTCGAACTGCGGTCTTGCTTTCTGATTAAAAAACGTTTTGAGTTCATCACGAAGCTCAAAAACACGTTTTAAAACTTTTCCTCTCGACAACCATCTCACTTCAGTGTGAAATAGCAGAGCATTGTTTGGCGCATCCAACTCGTTGCACAGTTGCGAAAACAGTTGACTGTTTAAACTGCTCGCTTTTACAAAATTGACAGAACTTATGACACTTTTCATTACTTCTTGTAACTCTTGTGGCAGCGACTTTGTTGCTAATATTTGAGAATGAATTGTACAGTGAGTTCTGATGACTTTTGGTGACTCATTCAGTACCAAACGTTGAAATCCAGATCGACATCCTAGCATAGCTGGAGCACCATCTGTGCAAACACCACAAACCTTTTCCCAAGAGATCTTATGCTCTTTCAGAAATGAACCAACTGTGTCAAATACATCACGTGCAGTAGTTGTCGTTTCAAGAGGTTTGCAAAAAAGAAACTCATCT